AGGGCTGCAGCCCTCGAGGACCAGGATTGCCCACCCCTGCTTTAAAAGTTCTGCATTCTTAAATTATTTCTGTCCATTCGCAGCCCATATGGACCACCCCCACCCATGCATCAGGCCCCACCCCCACAACACTACCAGCCAATTCCGCAACAGTACCAGCAACCACCCACACATCAAGCCCCGCCCACTCAGCAGAGCTCCATTCAGATACCGGTTGGATCTGGTCCTCCTAAAGTCGTCAGCACCGCCTGCATTTACCCCTCCCAGCCAGGTGAGGCACTGACTTTATTTTTTATTTATTTCACTTAAAATGCTACTTTTTATGTCCTGTTGATAATTGTAATGTATTTTAGTTTTTATGTCATAATTAAATAATAGTGTATAATACTATAAAGTATTATGTTGTAAAAGAGTTCAAGAAGGTTGGTATGAGAGTTAACTTTTATTTTAAAACATCAAAAAGTGAAACTTTGTTTATCCTTTTTAGGCCCAGTTTTGGGTCTTTAGGTAAATTTACTTGAAGCAAACTTTTTGTTTTGTATTATTTTCAAAACAAAAGAGAATGATACTTGTCAGTTTGGGAGTTTCTTCGACATTTTGTTGGATGGTGGACACAGCTCGGAGGACGATTCCGCCTGGATTTGATGAAAAAGCCAAAATTATGTGTGTCAAGTGATTTCTACTTTTTAATTTTATCTGCAGTTTCCTCCACTTGAAAAGGCTGCTTAATTTAGAAGTTTATGAACAGGACTTAACTCAATGACCAAGAGTTTTCTTTTCTCTCTTATTTTGAAAGGTGTCGAGGTCAAAACAGCTGAAAAACCTTAGAATAAGAACAAAAAACGTTTAAGTAAATGTAACCCAATAAACTTTAATCACCCCAAATTTTTAATACTTTTTAAATAACCAGAAATTGCCTTTGAAATTCTAAAATATCAAAATTAATGCACACAAAGTCAGTTAAACTCAGTTATAGTTTTAACCTTACACTTTACGCACTTTTAAAACCCCTTTTAAATAAGCAATATCATATTTAGCAGAATAATTTCAACTTAAATACTTTTTAATAAATACACATATTTAACTGTACTTTAATAAATATATATCACTCAATATGAAATGTTAAACCACATGATTTTAACACATTACATTTTAACCTGAGTGTAAACATGCTTTAAAATGTCAGTCTACAGCTTCAAAACATTTCAATTTAAAGCTCACTGGCTCCTTCTTCTGTTTTTTTTTTTCTGTTTTTTTTCTTTCAAACTTTAGTCCTGCAGTGCCTTCTCCAAAGATAAGATTCTCCCAGCATTTCTTTTACACATTTTTGCTCCTTGCTGCTCAGTGAGTGAATGCCTCCAAGTTTCCTCTGATCATCAGATCATTTCCAACTGGTGCAAAATGTTTGCAGCCTCCTGGCTGGGAGACACACCCAAACCTGCACTCAGTCAGAGAGGGGCAGAGCCTGAAGCTCAACAATGTGACTTTTTAGGCAATTTTACATGTTGACAAACCCTACCTTGCTGTACATGACCTGTTACCTTAAATGCTCCCCACAAACAGTAATTTGGTTTTCTGCCTTTGCCTCTGAAAAAGTATTTTTGTTTTTAAACCAAAGATCTACACTGAATCATGGCCCTTAAACCAAGGTACATAAAAAAATGTGCAAATCATTATGTCAACAGGTACTGCCATGTAAAAACTGCACTGTAAAAAAAACATTTTATCATTACTTTGTATTGCCTTTTTATTTCATTTATTAAAAACAAAAAAGTATAAACAATTATTTAAAACCCAAGATACATTAAACCATGAATGAAAAAATCAGAGAGAAGAAAACAATCATATCACATCTGCCTCTTGTCTTCAAAATTAATTTTCAAGATAATACTTTCATCATTTTCAGACTCCAGACTCAACAATTTGCAATATTTGCAAATAAAAACAAAAACAAAATCAAGTTCTTCACATCTTATTCCAACAACTGTTTGTAAATGCTATGTAATATAATTATTTTAATAAACTAGCTTTTATCATCTTTTTAAACCATAAATTTTTCTGGAAGTTTTAATATCAATATCAAGATTATGCCATAAACTTATTTCACAACAATACAGTATTGTATGGAAAAGCATTGTAACATAAACTTTTGTATTGTATCTTATGATTTGTTGATGTACATCTAATACAAAATTATTTGTTGGTTCAATGTAACGGTAAATGGCCTTAACTTGTAAAACACTTTATCAAGTCCCTAAGGATTCACATTGCCTTTTTACATAATATATTATTTTAAAATAATTAATTTTTATTTTCTTTATCAGTTCCAGCTCTTGTACCACCCCAGCCCCGCCCACCAGCCGCCGCCCCAGCCCCACCTTTTGCTGCTCCCGCCTCCTCCAACAGACCGCCGTGGGTGACAGACACCAACTTTGCTGATAAGTTCGACCCCAGTAAGACTACTACGACCACCACCTCCATGAAGGTGCAGCCGCTGCCCCAAGCAGCTCCTCCACCGCCGGCATACATCCCCAACCCTTCCCCTGCGGGACCTCTTGCTCCGAGCCCCGCTCCTATCACTCCAAGCCCTGCTCCTTTCCCTCCTGTAGCAAGGGGCGTAGCCCAGAGGGCGGAGAGATTCGCCGCCAGCAGTCGTACGCCTCTGTGTGGAGCGTGCAACAGCATCATCAGGTAGTGACACCTGCTGAGGTTACATTTTACAACTATTATATTTGTTCTGTTTCTTTAAAAGTATTTAGCTTTTCTATCTATACCAGGGGTGTCAAACTCCAGTCCTCGAGGGCCGCTATCCTGCATGTTTTAGAGGTTTTCCAGCTCCAACACACCTGAATCAGTGATTGAATTAACTCTTCAAATTGGGCAGAAGCCTGTTAATCACCCAGCGATCAAAATCAGGTGTGTTGGAGCAAGAAAACCTCTAAAACATGCAGGATAGCGGCCCTCGAGGACAGGAGTTTGACACCCCTGATCTATACAGTAATCCCTATTTAAAGTTTTTCACGTTACAAAAATTTATTTTCTTTGAGTTGCATATTACATCTGTATCATCAACTCAAAATTCCAGAAATGTTTCTTATTAATAATTCATTTAAGTGCTTGTGTAAATTATTAGTCATCCAGGACACGGAAAATGATGGTTACACACCTTTCACAATGGAGAGTGGTTAGGGTCTTTGTTTGCCTGGTTCACAAGATATGTTTTGGTCACATGCATGAAGGTTTGAATTAGAAAGAAACTGACTGGGTATATGGCTTAGTCCTGCACTATAAGTTTTGGAGAGCTTAAATCTGAGGCCTCCTGCTTTGTTTTAATCTGTTTTTTCTTGTTTGACACAAATGGCTTCCTTTAATCAAGACAACTATCTAAACAACATGCAGCGAAACAAAACAGGGAGAAGAACAAATGTGAAAACATTGTCATCCATATGTTGCTGGAGTATCTGAGAATCAGTGTGTAGACATCAGGGATGATGTTGCAAAGGCACGTCAACCAAGACAGCCCAGCAACTTCCAGAGCTTCAAGGAATTCAGGGGGATCTCATGTAACCCTGAGGCCTTGCTGCCACAGAACCTTTTAATAACTGTAGGGGTTTTAAACGCTAGAATTCTGAAATGGATAATTTGTGAATATATTTAAATATATTATATTTAAATATATTATTCCTCGAGGCACCACATTCTTAATTCGATCAGATATTGACCCAGGAAAGAAATGAAAAACTGTAACTCTATTATAATCAGTCTCAGAATAAATTTACCCAAATTGATTTATGAGTTCTTGTCTTATCAGAACCAGAATATCTTCATCAAGACACAAAAATGAGATTAGCTTATGTTGGCACGTTCCCCACGGGCCATTTATTTACAGATTAAATGTATTTACAACTATGGCATGTAATGAATGAATAATGACATGTTTGAACCAGGTAAAAAGCTGAGAGAGTTTGTTATCACGAGTGAAGGAACAAACAGACAGACAAATAAACAAACAAACATGTAAACAAAAATAAACACGGAGAAGTGAGTTTGAGGCTCTGAGTGAGGTGAGGTAAGCTATTTTAGCTGTGGTTTTTAACTAGGGGCCCCTAGTTAAATTAAGATCGAGAAAAACGTTTAGCTTAACAAATCTCCTGCAAAGATAAAAATCAAATTTACATCTGAGCACCTGTGTGTTTCACCAAGACAAGTGTTCACCTTTACCCTTTTGTTCTGCTGATGGCGGTACCAGCAGGAGCGTCGGGTGAACCAAAGGATCTCAGGTGATGTTTCCCAAAGAACTGCTTCAGTGTAGTGGCCGTTCAGACACTCAGGGTGTCTTTTATCTGCTGGTCCTTCAGTCAGAAAGGGGTTTTCTCTCTGGTGACTCGGAGTCTGGTCCTTCACAGGTGGCTGTAAGACTTTGATTTGATCTTCACTTTGTAGAGAAACGGACTAAAACGACGGATGAATTATCATTAGCTTATTTGACTTCTATAAATCAAAACTCAGAGACTGAGTCGAAGTATGATGAACAAGCTGTACGGATCAATCAGCGGTCATCATAGCGGTCAGTCATAGAAACAAGTGAAATCTAACCAGAAATGATTATTTATATGCAGGAAAATGCTACATAACATTGGTGACTTCAAACCCAGTTATGGACAGACCAACAATCCCTGGACTCAACCTTCCTCCACAGAGGACATGCTGGTAGGATTAGGAAGGTCCTCAAGTATTTATTTCACTACCTGACATCATCACTGGTTGAGGTCAGTAGCACCCCACCTCTACTACTCAAAATGTTGGTAAAGCTACTTTCTCCACCTCAGCCATGATTTGCCAGAATTTTCTTGAAGCTGATCCAGAGACTGTCCAAGATCTCTCACATCTGACCTTTTTCCTCGGCCCACTGATACCTCTCAGCTACCTCTCGAGTCCTACCAGCTAACAAGGCCCAAAAGGACTTCTTCTTCAACTTGATAGCCTAGCTCAGGGAGGCTGCCTGGACAATACAAGTGCAGAGCAAGGCCCACTCCGACTCAGTCTTCCCCTCTGGTGGGATGCAGTTTAAGCTTTGTTGTGGGTGTCTGACACGTTCTTCTGAGAGGCATTACCAGTAAACTCTTACAACATGTTTGATTCTACTGGGTCTGTTTATCATCTTTTCCTGACATAATCCTACCCATCACCAGGTGCTGATTAATTCACAGCTTAGCTCCACTCTTCACCTGAATGTCTAGAACATACAGCTGCAGATCAAATGACATGATTACAAAAGCTGTTATCTATCTGCAAGAGTGTCCTGGTGCCACATGCACTTATGGATGTCCTTATGTTCAGACAGGCTTTTCCTTCCAATCATGCCCCTCCAGGTCCCACTGTCGTTACGAAGGTGGGCATTGAGGTCCCCCAACAATATAATGAAGTCCCCAGCTTGAGCACCTTCGAACACTCCCACCAAGGACTCCAAAATTGCCCGTCACTCGGAACCAAAGTTTTGGCTCATAGGTACAAACAGTCAGTACCCGTCACCCCACTCTAAGGCACAGAAAAGATAACCTCTCATCTTCCAGGGAAAACTCCAATGCATATGGGCAAGCCAGGGGGCTATAAATAGACCCACATGAGCCCAGAGCCTCTCACCCTGGACAACTCCAAAATTGAATAAGTTCAAGTTCAGTTTATTTATATAGCGCCAAGTCACAACATATGTTGTCTCAGGGCACTGTACATAAAGGTCCAGCCCTACTCAAGGAGATTGGTTCCAGATCACACACCATGCATCAAGGTGAGCCCCACTGTATTTAGTCGATACCCCTTTTTCAGACACACCAGTTCAGGCTCCTTTCCCACCAGAGAGGTGACAATCCATGTCCCAAGAGCCAGCTTTCAGCTGCCACCCACAGCTTTATTCACTGACTTGTATGGCCCCTCCAGCAAGTGGTAGGCCCACAGGAAATCTTACTAATGAATCTTGTTCAGGCTGGGCCTTACGGCTATTGGTGTCTCTAATGATCTCCTCCCCCCAGGCGCCAGGTAGCCTATGTTCAAGCAAGTGACACTGAGCTCCTTGATGTCTTCTGTCCAGTGGTGGGAACAAGCCCGCTAAAGCGCAAATCCGCTAATTGCGAACCTAAATATTTTGTTTGCGCTTAAGCGGACTTACTAATTTTTATAATTCATAAGCAGATTTGCGCTTTCTAAAATTAAAATGCAGCACTGCTAATGACTAATTATCTACCAGATCTATCCAACAGCACTCCTCCCAGATAAACACAGTTATTGGGAAGGTATACATCAGGGATCATCAATTACAGTCCTCGAGGTCCGCAGCCCTGCATATTTTACATATTTTCCCTTCTCTAACACACCTGACTCAGTCAGTGAATTACCTCTTCCAAGTTCTGAGGAAGCCTGATAATCATCTATTCATTCAAATCAGGTGTGTTGGAGCAGAGAAACAAGTAAAACATGCAGGACTACGGACTGATGATCCCTGGTATACATCCTTGCGTACTGTTGCTTTCGGCCACGGTTCTAATTTCCCACAATGCTTTGTGTCTGCTTACGTAGCAGGAAGGCATTCGCAAAAACAGTAAACGTTTGTAATCCATACTAAAATTTTGTATGTATTGATTTATTTTACTTGTAGGGGTTTGGGGTATATTCTAAAATGGATAATTTGTAAATTATTTAACTACGCAAATTATCTTACCTCGAGGCACCACATTCTTAATTTGGTCAACAATTAACCCAGGAAAGAGACGAAAACCTGTAACTTTACTGTAATCAGTCTCACAATAAATGTACCCAAAATCGTTTGATGAGTTCCTGTCCTTGTCAGAACCAATAATACTTTATCAAGACACAAAAGTGACATTAACTTATGTTGGCACGTTCTCCATGGCCCATTTATTTACAGATTAAATGTATTTACAACTATGGTGAATAATGAGTGATGACACGTTGAACCAGGTAAAACTGACAGAGTTTGCAATCTCACGTGAATAAACAAACAAACAAACAAACAAACAAATAAAACAAACACCGAGAGGTGAGTTTGAGGCTTGGAATGAGGTGAGGTGAGTTTTGCTTTTAGCTGGTTTTTTTAACTAAGGGTCTTGGTTAAATAGAAGAGAAAAATCGTTTAGTTTATCAAATCTCATACAAAGATAAGAATCAAATTACATCTGAGCACCTGTTTGTCACCAGGACAAATGTTCACTTTTACCCTTTTGTTCTGCTGATTGCCGTACCAGAAGTAGTCGTCGGCTGACCGAAGGATCTCAGGTGATGTTCCCCAAAGAACTGCTTCAGTGTAGTGGCCGGTCGGACATTCAGGGTGTCTGTTCAGCTGCTGGTCCTTCAGTCAGAAAGGTGGGTGGTGAGCTGGTGACAATGGGGTCCGGTCCTCCCAGGCGGCTACAAGACTTAATTTGATTTCAACTTTGTAGAGAAAAACGAACTAAAAACGACGCATGAATTACAATTAGCTTATTTAGCTTCTATAAAATCAAACTCAGATGTTGAGTCGATATTAAACGTTGGTTGTTCGTTCAACCCAGCGGGAGATGCAGAAGGGCCACCATCCTGTCCAGTCCATGGGGAGGGGCTGGCAGGAAGGGCCTCTGCTGAGCTTCTGGAAAGCTGTTTCTGGCTTCTGATGTTGAAAAACACTCTTTCGCTGTCGGTCTTCTTCTGTTTGGTCTTCTTCTTCTTCTTCTTGTGGGAAGCTGCACTAACTTTTAAAACCTGTTATGGGCGGAGTCAAGGTTTTAGTTGGCCAATAAAAATATTACACCTTATACAGGAAAAGTTTTTTAACAAATCAAATCTGTTTTGGAGGGAAAACTTTACTTCAGGACAAAGAAAAAGGGAGTGTTTTAGTTTAATTATCTTGCATCTGATTAAAAGGGAGAGACGTCTGCTTGCCTCAGTAAAATAAGAGTGTCACACTTAATTATTAAAATTCAAGTCCTAAGTTTCTAAGATCATGGAATAAAACACACATCTTCTTCAGGAAAACATTTCATCAAAACAATTAGCACCACACAGTTACCACACTGAGTCCTTAGTGGGCAAACAGTTAAAAAGAGAACATAGTAGAGCTTCAATAGGTTTTTTAGTTCTTTTCTGTAAGAAAAATGGATTGGATGACATTCTTTGCAATAAAACAGAAAACATTAGATACACAGATTCCTTTATCTTTTCTCCTTTTTTCACATTTAATGAAGAATGTAGGTCCTTTGTTCTCAGTCACTGAAGAGTCTGTTTAAAGGCATTTATGATCCCTTTGAAGAGGAGCAAACAGACAGTCCTGTGCTTATGGGGGATGGAAGCAACAGAACTTGTGGGGGTTCGGAACAGGAATGTGGCAGTTCTTATCTATAAACAGTAAGGCATCAGGACGTCTGGTGGGAGTTTGTGTAAGAGATGTTAATTTGAGCCACAAAGGAAGTTCCATGCAAAAGTCTTTAGAAATAGTCTGAAGTTAAAGTGGGGGTTTTCTTCCTCTTTGAGCCGTTATCATAGGAACAAGTGAAATCTAATCAGAAATGATTATTTATAGGCAGAAAAATGCTGCATACTTTACAATTGGAGCTCCTTTAAAAAAAAATAAAGTTTAAACGCTGGAGCTCAAAAGCAATCGGCCAACGGTGTTAGAGACTCAGAAATTATTTAAAGATGTTGTGCTGGTGAAGACTGACATCTAGTGGTCAACAGGACCAACTACATGGAAAATGTCCTAATCAGGTAGGAAAAAAACAAAAAGAAAAAAAGTAGGTCCTCTGGATGGGTTCTTCTTTAGTGAAACGTTTTGTCTCTCCTCCAAGAGACTTCTTCAGTCTGATGAGTTTCATGTGAACTGGAAAACTTTAAAATCAGAGCTCTTTTTTGAAGGGAAGATACTTGTTTCCTGTTCCCCGTGCTTTCGTTTCCCGTCAGTCTGTCATGTACCCAGAATGCATCACTTCAGTTTTCCAATAAACAGTTTTAAAATTACTTTATTGATGCTTTTTTAATGAAAAATCTACAACAAACAAAAGAAAAAGACAAAGAAGCAGCCGAACCAGCAATCCTCAACAACTTTTTAAAGAATCAGCTGAATTAGCAATCCTCAACAACGTTTTAATTGTTACACCAGGAGCCAAAGTTCTGTTTCAGGGAATAACATCCCAGCAATCAGCGGTTGTAGGATTAAGTTGTAAAAGAGTTCATACACTGCTAGTTGGCAGTGTTGTGCAAATATTGTTCATGAATTGTCTGCTAGTAAGTGTCAAATTGAACTTGTGCTTTAAAATTTGCTTCCGCTAGTTTTCCTACAGCATAAGTAGTTTTGAAGTTGCAAACCTAAATATTTTTATAAGCGCTTTAGAAATTGCGGAGCTAATTTTTGGATTAGCGCTGCCCACCACTGCTTCTATCAATGTGCTGAATATACAGTCCTCATATAAGCTATTACCTTATGATGTAAATATCTTTTATTTATCATTTCTCTGTGATTCCTTTAAAAGACAGGATAAAGTCAGACCTGGTGACAATGATGAAAACTTGTCACTTCCTGCTGGATAACAGGACCAACATATTGTTGTCATCCTCAGGGGTCCCTTCCTGGTGGCTCTCGGACGGTCCTGGCACCCTGAGGAGTTTAACTGTCACTACTGCCACGTTTCTCTGGCGGATGTCAGCTTTGTGGAGGAGCAGAACAATGTTTACTGTGAGAACTGCTACGAGGAGTTCTTCGCTCCGACCTGCGCTCGCTGCAACACCAAGATCATGGGGGTGAGGCGATGACATCGAACACCCTAAGTGTGTGTCAGGAAGCCGATATTTTTACTGTGTTCCTGAATGTAACATAACTCTAACTCCTACCTAAGTAAAGGTGAGAGGAGCTCATTTTGAATGTTGAGAATAAAAAAAGAACAATGGGCCTCATGCAAGAACCGTTCGTACGCACAGATTTGTTCTTAAGTTGTGCGTACGAGTGATTTAGGAGAATTTGTGGCATTCACCAATGTTTTCGTATTCTAAGATTTTCTTCAGATACGAACAAAATTCACGAGTGGTCCAGACCTGTCGTATATTTTATGAGCAGTCAGTCTGCTGTTATCCAGACGGGTTTTCTTCACTAATAACTTTATATTTTGTTAGTTTGAAGATATTTTGAGTTGAAAATATATCACACTCCATAATTATGTTGGCAATAGGCTATTCTGCTTGAATTAGAGTTATAATTTTAAATGTAATAATTTAGACTAACAATATAAATTGTCCGTTCGTCCGTTTTCCACCGCTTATCCGGGATCAGGTCTCGGTGGCAGCAGCAAAGAGACCCCCTCTCTCCAGCGACACCTTCCAGCTCGTCCTGGGGGACTCCGAGACGTTCCCAGGCCAGAGGGGATATATGATCAAGTCCTGGATTTTCTCCAAAGTGCCAGACTTATTTTGAAAACATTTTAAAAGGCTTATTTCAAACCCGCATCTGAGACCACCTGCACCCGTGCAGCACGCGGGGGGTGGGGGTGGGGGGTACGGTGCGCAGCGTTGCGGCTTCTGAATAAATTAAAATGATTTAACACAGTTGTTTATACTTTTAGCAGCTCTTTTTATCCCACAGCTGACCTGCTAAAAATGACAGATTTTCTTTTCTTGATCTCTGACAGACGGACTTCAATCTCTGAACTYGTAAAGTTTTTATTTTTTCAGTTTTCGCTGTCATTTTTCATGAATGAACACTTCCTGATATCTGAGGCAGGAAACATAGCCTTAAATGGTGTTTTTGGGGTGGTAATTATGCTAATCTCCTCACGCGTGCACGAGCAGCTGGACAGAACAGGTGGAATTTACGCAGCTCATTTACGCACGTTTCCTGAAGATAGAAGAGTTTGTTGAATCTGACGTGACATGTTCGTACGAACCCTTTGTACGAACAAAAGTAAGAGAAATTTAGGATAAGAATACGAACATGTTCTTGCATGAGGCCCAATGTACTGTATTAACTATCTCGTGGCCACGCATTAATTTTTTATTTATCCAGTGTCACCGAGCAGGCTCTGTAGAAGGCTCAAATCAATGTATTTTTAATTATTACATTGTTTATCATCAAAGAATGTGTATGTGGGGTTTTTTTTTTGTTTGTTTGTTTTTATTTGTGTAATTGAGGTTTGTTTTGTGACCGTGTGTTACAGGAAGTGATGCACGCTCTGCGGCAGACGTGGCACACCACCTGTTTTGTGTGTGCAGCCTGCGGCAAGGCATTTGGAAACAGCCTCTTCCACATGGAGGACGGAGAGCCGTACTGTGAGAAAGGTACAAAGTTTGAGCCGTCAGGTTCAGGTTGTTCTTTAATTGGAATATTGGGGGGGAAATACAGTCTGGGCCAAATGAGTGGACTTCAAGACTCATGGTTCCAATCAGGAAATAAATGGTTTGATTCCTTTTTCAGAATCAGTGTGTCCTTAAACAAAACATTAAACCCACGAGTCTTTCTAAGTGATGTGAAAAAACGGTCTTGACTTTAAGGATCAAACCATCAAAAAGGTCTTGCAGTGATTGTCCTTCAGCTCCAACAAGATGTTTAAACTAAAGTCATTTTTTCTGGTGAAATGATGGAGTTATAGCTGCTTTGATCAAACATCATGTCTGATCTGTTTGTTCTTGTGTTGCGTAAGACTCAGCAACTGAAGCTAACTTTAGCTCAGTATTTGTAAATCTGACAAAGTTAACGCAATAGGGTAGCAGGGGGAAGGAGTCTCCAGAATGTCTCAAAACATAAAAAAAATTAAGCGTTCAGAATACTCTTTCAATCTGTGCACATGAAAATAAACTGATTTTTATATCTTTGATGCTCAAAATGTGACAACTGGTCGAACCAATCCAGTGAGACTGCAACTGAAAATCTGCATATTTTTCTTTCAATTTTGATTTACTAACTAATATTTAACAGTCGCAGTCCAGTGAGACATACATTTATAGTCAGTTATCTGATGGTTAATCACTTGTAGATGTTTACAGTTATTACTTTTTGTCAAAAAAAAATCTGTTTGACAGTTTATAAAATATTCTAGTGGCAAGCACACACAGATATATTATTTCTTATCTTCACCCTTCAACAGCAATCCTGGAAAATGATAAATCTTTGTTCAAATAAAACAAATACAAATCAACGGGGGAATGTCTGTTATTTAAAGCAGAAACATGTCTGCATAAGAAAAGAAAAATAAAGGGGTGGGGATCAGTGGGTAATAATCAAGTCAAAATGTCTCAGTTTGTCAGGGAGGTTAGAGGTTCGACTTTATGGAGTCCACATCGATCTTATATCAGAGTGATGTAGCCTTCAGAGCTTTTGGAATGAAACATGCTGGTAATATAATAAATAAAATAAACCCTCGTTTTAGATGGTGCACTTGGATTTTAAACATTTCAATTTTTGTGGTGGAGAAGTTGAAGAATGTCTGTGTTTGTGTCAGATTACATCGCTCTCTTCAGCACCAAGTGTCACGGCTGCGACTTCCCGGTGGAAGCTGGAGATAAGTTTATCGAGGCTCTGGGCCATACCTGGCACGACACCTGCTTCGTCTGCGCGGTAAGAACCACAAACCCACCCAAGAGCTTGTTCAGACCCCTTTAAGTACCCAGACTAATAACACAGTTTAGCCTTAATATGCAACTTCTCTATTCTGCTAAAAGTTATTGATTTTGACATTTTAAAACATTTAATTTTCTGTGTTCATCACATTTTTCACTTTAGCATGTCGCTATTTTGTTACAGACGCAATGCATTCTGGGGATGATAATGCCTCTTGAGACTAACAAACAGAGTCAAGGCTAAAAAGCTAATATGTGTGACATTAAATTTATATTCTATTAGTTTCTATGTTCAGCAAGGGCCGAGTGGGTAATCGGGAGAATTGGGACGATTCTCACTGGGCCGCATCATTAATGGGCCGGTCCACACAGGTTAGGAGATGCTGCCGGGTCAAACTGTTCATTACTGAGTAAAAATTAACAGGAAGAGACCAGGTTGGGCTTAAAAAGTCAGGTTGAAGAAAGGAAAGGCATAACTGGAGGAAGGCTGGTGGGCCGCCAGGCTTTACATTACTCCCCGCCAGGTTAAACCTCGTTCTTTTTCTCAGAGCTGACGTCGCCCGCAGAGCATGTGCTAAAAATAACAGTCACAATCGTGAAGCTCATCATAATGCCTCTCAGCGTGCAGTCATCATCTGTAAAGTCTTTAGGGTCAACAATTCTTTAAAAAAAGCACGAGATGTTGTTCCAGCAGCAGCTCGTGGGGCCGACAGAGACGCACAGCTCCTGGTCTCTGTCACAGGCAGCGGCTGTCTCAGACACACACACACACACACACACACACACGCACGCACGCACGCGCACACACACACACACACACACACACACACACAACTGTCTCCCAGCCCCTCCTCCCTGGAACATTAACCCTTAGGGCACAGAAAGCAGCAAAACCAATTGTTTTCAATTATTGGAAAATGGTTTTATATTCATTACATAACTGATATTTTATAAGAGTTGGAGTCCTGATTACGTTTAATTCAGAAAGTACTGTTTATTTCATTATTATTAGTTATTTTAAAGTCAAATAATTTGATTTTTAGTGAGGGTTTTCTTTTTTTTCCAACTGATTTGCTGAATTGTGACAAAATGTGTCTAAAAAATAAATGAAAAAGTTGATGATGGAGTAAAACAAGAAAGGAATGATAATAATGTGTCTTTTTAAGTCTAATATGTTTTCTTTATTCATTAGGTTATGTCTGTCCTGAAAATTAAATAAAATATGATCTGTAAAATGTCATTCGTAACATTAAATTGACAGAAAACAGTCCTGAGGTTGGACCAAGTTTTTAATTTTTACCCTTTTGTGTAGCTGAGTTTGACACTCCTGCTGTAGATTCCTGTAGTAGAGGAAGTTGTTATAGTTTTTGTTTACTTAAATGTCAAAACGTTCAATTGGGCCTTTGTTTACATAACCATACAGTTATGTGTTTTTTAATCCGAATCAGTTTTATTGCCATTGTCAATGAACAGTATTCACAGACTAGGAATTTGCTTCGTGTAAAGGTGCAATAGGTATCAAATATAACAAAAGAAGAAAATACATAAAATAAAGGAAAAATATAATAAAATATATAAAACATATGTACACCAGTTCAATACAGTAATCAGAACAGACAACATATTTGGAGTAGTGCGGGGCGGCTGTGGTGGAGTGGTTAGGGGAGTCGTCCTGTAACCGGAAGGTCGCTGGTACGATCCCCCGTCCAGCCGTCTCAGTCGTTGTGTCCTTGGGCAAGACACTTCACCCACCTTGCCTACTGATGGTGGTCAGAGGGTCCGGTGGCGCTGGTGCATGGCAGCCCTGCCTCTGTCAGTGTGCCCCAGGGCAGCTGTGGCTACAGTGTAGTTTGCCATCATCAGTGTGTGAATGTGTGAATGTCTGTTAGTGTAAAGCACTTTAGTGTCGCAGGAAGTACATCCTCTGTTGGGCCTTCTTGATGAGGGAACTGATGGTCGGCTCCCACTTGAGGTCCTGGGTGATGGTGGTGCCGAGGAACCCGTAGCAGGCTACAGTTGTGATGGGGGTCTCGTTAAGGGTGGGGGTGGGGGGGCAGAGGGGCTGTGGCCTTTCTGAAGTCCACAATCATCTCCACTGTTTTCTGGGCACTGAGCTCCAGGTTGTTGCTGCTGCACCAGGTCACCAGCCGGTCCACCTCCCACCTGTAGGCAGACTCATCACCCTGATGAGCCAGATGAGGGTGGTGTCATCCGCAAACTTAATAGAGTCATGGCTGGAGGTGCAACAGTTAGTGTACAGGGAGAAGAGCAGAGCGGAGAGAACACAGCCCTGTGGAGATCCTGTGCTTATAGTCTGTGTGTCCGAGACAACTTTCCCCAGCAGACATGTGCTGACTCCTGTCTGTCAGCAAATCTCCACCTGCAGGTGGAGTCAGGCACGTTGAGCAAAGAGAGCTTGTCCTGGAGCAGAGCAGGAAGGATGGTGTTGAATGCAGAGCTGAAGTCCACAAACAGGATCCTAGCATAGGTTCCTGGTGAATCCAGATGCTGCAGGATGAAGTGGAGAGCCAGGTTTATGATGTAATCTACAGACCTGTTGGCTCTGTAGGCAAACTGCAGAGGGTCCAACTGGGGGTTGTAGATGGACTTGAGGTGGGATAAAACCAAATGTTCAAAGGTTTTCATGACCACAGACGTGAGAGCCACAGGCCTTAATATTTATTCCTCATTATTTATAATTATTTACCATATTACAATACAAAAATATTATATGCTAGTGCTACATTTTTGCCTAATTTTTTATATGCAAAAATATTGGGCTGGTCTTGACCATTAAACTCCCGGGCTGAAAAGTTTCCCCACTCCACCCCTGATGTTCAGCACAATACATGGTTTAAAACGATCAGATATAATGTTTATTAGCCCCAGAGCTAATATTATTAGCTCAAGAGCTAATGCCTTTAAGCTACTACGGTAATAAGTATGTGACGTTAGCTCCCAAGCTAATAGCATAAAAGCTAACAGGCTAAGCTGAGGTTCTCCTTCCATGAAGCAGCTCTGTTGTCCTCCATCCTTTTTTTAATGTTCAAACTGGACAAATATCTCAGCCTTGCACCGTAGGACATGCATTATCATATACCCAGAATGCTTTGCGGCGTAAATAACATGTCTGGCTTCAATTTTTTCCTCACGGCTGCTGTCGATGCAGGTCTGCCACGTGAACCTGGAGGGTCAACCTTTCTACTCCAAGAAAGACAAACCTCTGTGCAAGAAGCATGCTCACGCCATCAACGTGTAAAGCGTCACCTCGCCGCAGGTCAACCAGCTCTCACACCAGTGCGTAAACCAAACGCACCCTGGATTCCTGCGTATAATTATTCATGTTTGTTTAAAACGATGCTGCCTGATGATTCTGCTTCCAAACAGGAACTCGTGCTGCTCATCACATCAGCTGAACTGCAGCTTTTTCTTTAAGTAATTTGTGTTTTTTTTTTGTGATTAAAATAAAATATTGAGAAGAACGTTGGTTTATATAGAGCCAGCAGTAAAAAGGTTTTTAACCAAAATAAGTTTGTAAAGTCTGATCATTATGCAGAAATAATTCAAATAAATTGGTGTTAAATCTATTTTAACGCAGTTAGATGTGTAAATTCTACATTATTTTTGTGGATAAAATACACTGAGACAAATTTTGTGTGTATTTTATAAATGAAAGTGCCATTTTATTATTTAATAATGCATGAATCGTTAATGACACCATTTTTATTTTCTCATTTTTATATGCAGTTTTAAACTTTAAAAAGACACAAACTGATCATAAATAAATTTTCTAAAGTTGTTACAAACACGGCAGGACGGTGGCGCAGCGGTTAGAGCTGTCGCCTCTCAGCGAGAAGACCCCAGGTTCATTTCCTGGTCTGGGGTTTTTCTGGGTGGAGTTTGCATCATCGTCCTGTGCATGTGTGGGTTTTCTCCAGATACTCCGATCAACACAGACCAATAACATGCATGTTAGGGTGACTGGTAACTCTAAACTGTCTCTATCGGTGTGAATGGTTGTCTCTTTGTGTCCTTGTTATGAAAGAGTCTGTTTTCTTTTTTTAAAGTTGAAACCACCTTTATTTATTTACCGAGACACAGACTGACCTGTTTATGTGCCTGTTTGACTTGTTTAGATTTTTTAATGCTTCCTTTTTATTATTTATGTATTTTAAAACTAAATTTTATTACAATTAGAAGAAACCTGCAGCTCCTCTGAAATCCACACAAACTGAGTTTATTTCAAGCAGCAGATTGAAGGTTTTTACTTTACAGAGACGTTAAATGTTTTGTTTATTGTCTGTATCTGAACGGTGAGGCAGATCCAAACTTTTAAGCAGGTTTAACGTCAGCTGACGAACTGACTCGTAGGTAAGGGAAACTTTTGATGAAGGCGACGTTCCTCTCACAGTTTATTGCAGCTGCTCCCAGGGGCGGAGCCAGGGGGTGACCAGGGTGGGGGGGGTGTGGCCACGACCATCATGGAAAACATCTTTGACCAACCCAACCACCAGTTATTTCTATACGCAGAATGTTTATTTCAACTGAAATCCAGTAGATAATCGTCATCGTCGTTTATGGTGGTCATAAATCTGGGTGTGACCAGTGGTCCCAGTCAGGCAAACCCCTACAAATTGTCTGTCTCCGCCACTGACTGCTCCACCTGAACAGCATAACCTGCTCAGAAAAGACATCAAATATTTTTATTGTTTTAATACTTTGGCTAATTTTGACTGTAAAACTTGTATTTATTGTGTTGTGCATTTTGTTGTCTGCGAGTGGAGTCATCTTTTCTCCAGTGGATCTGTTCAGGTGAGGCTGCTGCAGAGTGATGATGATGATGATGATGATGATGATGATGATGATAGTTAATGAACTTAAAACCCCTCTGATTTCACCTGCACACAAAAGCTTCATATTTGGTGACTCTTCTGGTTGTCCGGGGGTGATTTTGTGTCACCGAGAACCTTTGGCTTGATGAATGTGATTTTTATCTTTGGCTCGACTGTAATTTTGTAACTTTGGTCAAACTGTTTGCATCCTTACAGCTCGAATGTTCGCACATTCAGTTCACGCTGCAGAACTTCAGAACATGTTTCCTTGTTTTGGTTTAAAAAAAAAGAAAAACATTTGTTCCAGGTCGTGAAACAAAAAGCAGATATGAACGAGAGACTGAATTGTTTTCTTAGACAATACTGCTCAGCAGAAAATTTAAGACGTGATGAAGATCCGTAAATCCAGTGTTTGGTTTGGAAACACAGTAATATTTTGCAGTAGTTTGGGGAAATGAAGGTTCCATGAGGTTTTAGTGGAAAAGCTTATCTTCCTCCTAAGAAGGTTCTTGAAAACAGCCAGCTGTTGTTTTGTGTCTTGAAAGAACACTTTGTGGACGTCATGGTCCAGAGGAGGACTTGGGTCAGATTCATGACTCAGTGGAAAGGTTCTGTCCTACATGGATATGATGAAAGTGTGAGATACAGAGAAAGCTCATGGATGAACAGAAGAGGTTGTTGTTGTTTCTGTAGCTCTGTTCTGGATAAGCAGAAGATGGACGGATTATTGATTAGCTTCCATTCTCTTATTATGGATTTTAGCAGCATCTAGTGGACAGTGAAGGGACTGCAGCTTTTTTTTTTACATTAAATTAAAGTGTATCTTACACCCCCCCCCCCAAAGATAACTCCGCCCCAAGGCGAAATTTGAAAAATGCATCAAAGTGGGTAGGGGAAGGGGGGTTAGAGAGCGGAGGTGTGG